CGTACTGGGCGGCGGTAGGGGGGTGATCCTAAATAACTTTTCCAAGAGGAGGTATGTGTGTCGCATGGCGCATAAGATGTTCAGTGGCCACTTTCGGGGTAAACGGTACGTGAACGTCGCCGAATCTATCCGGCGCTCCTTCCGCCCTCCCCGCGCGCCTCGATGGCTCGCCACGCCTCCTCGACGAGCGCGAAACACTCTCCGGCGCGCGGGTGGCCGCACCGATCCGGGTGGAGCCGCCGCACCAGCTGCAGGTACCGCTTCCGGCTCGCCTCGCGGCCCGTCAACTGCTGCAAACCAAGGCAGCCCCAAGGGTCCTGCACAGCGCGGGGGGCTCCAGCGAGCACCGCCGCCACGAGAGCGTCCAACGGGCAGTCGACGTCGACGATGCCGCCGCTCGACCCTGCGTCGCCGCTGCTGGACCCACCGCAGCCGCCGCCGCCGCCGCAACCGCTCCCGCCGCCGCTCCCTCCCCCTCCGCCGCTCCCACCGCCCCCGCCCGCCTGGGGCTGGCGCTGGCGGCTGGCCGCCTAGGTAAGGTGAGGTAGGGCAAACTTCTCCACACACAAGGGTGGTGGGGCAAGGGGGGGCGACCCTCGCGACTCCACGTCTAGAAGACGGGAGCCTCGTGGCACTAGAAGTGCAAGGCCCAGTGCGCGTGGGTGAGCGATGCGTGCGTGTGCGTGTGCGTGTGCGTGTGCGTGCGCGTGCGCGTGCGCGCGCGTGCGCGTGCGTGTGCGCGTGCGTGTGCGTGTGTCTCCACCTCCTCGAAGAGTCGCCTCTGGTCCTACGTGGCGAACACGCAACCTCGAGGCGGGAGGACGGTCTCGTGCAGTGCATTCGTAGCACCGCGTGAATACGAGGGGCTACGAATACAGCGAAAGCAGCGGAAGACGGCCGAATACGGCTGAGTACGTGTCCTCTCGAGCGCTGGTTGGGATACGAGAAGATGTACTCCGCTTCTGGGCCTCCCTTCCTCGATTGCGGCCCGCCTCCGCTGCTCCTGCAGCAGCGGCTTCTGCTCCTGCAGCCGTCGCTTTTGCTCCCGCAGCTGCCGCAGCTGCCGCAGCTGCTCGGCCTTGGCGACGCGCACCGCCTTGGCTGCCTACGGGGCATGGCCAGGACGTGTCGTGGACGTGTCCTGGACAGGGCACCCGGCTCGCGCTGCGCTGCAAGCCGCCTCCACAGCCTGCGCCTCCGCTGCCCTCGCCGCCGCTGCTGCCGCCAACTCGGCCTGGCCCGGCGCCTCGCCGACCGCCCGCGCGTACGCCACCGCCGCCTCCACTGCCGTGTCGAAGGTGCCGTAGCAGACCTGTCTACCGTCCACCCTGTGCCCCGCCTTGAAGCGGCCGGAGGGGCGCTGCTGCACGCCCTTGTACCCGGTGGGACTGCTGCTGGAGAGGTGCAATCTCAAGCCTTCCGCTTCTGCAGCCACCGCCGGAGAAGGATGAGCCGGAGGCTGGTATTCCCCGACCGCCCGCGCATACGCCACCGCCGCCTCCACCGCCGTGCCGAAGTAGCCGCAGCAGACCTGTCTACCGTCCACCCAGCGCCTCGCCTGGAAGCGCGAGCCATTGTTGCACACGTTCTTGTACCCGGTGGCACTGCTGCTGGAGAGGTGCAATCTCAAGCCCTCTGCTTCTGCAACCACCTTCGCTTCTGCAGCCACAGCCGTTGGCTCGGCTTGCACCGCTGGGGTGTATTCCCCGACCGCCCGCGCATACGCCACCGCCGCCTCCACCGCCGTGCCGAAGGAGCCGAAGCGGACCTGTCTACCGTCCACCGTGTGCCTCGCCTGGAAGCGCGAGCCATACACACCGCGCTCTATGGACACGCCCTTGTACCCGGTGGCACTGCTGCTCGAGAGGTGCAGCCGCAAGCCCTCCGCCTCGGCGACTAGCGGCTCCTGCGCAGCCTGCTGTCCTGCCGCCGCCTCCGCCGCCTCCGCCGCCTCCGCCGCCGCCGCCTCCTCCGCCTCCTCCGCCTCCTCCGCCTCCGCCGCCTCCGCCTCCTCCGCTGCCCTCGCCGCCCCCACCACCGTTGGGGGAGGAGGAGCCGGAGCCTCGTACTCGCCGCCTCCGCTGCTCTCGCCGCTCCCGACGCTCGCGCCATTCCCGCTCCCGCCGCTGCAGCTCCCGCTCCCGCCGCCGCCTCCGCCGCCTCCGCCGCTGCCGGCCTTGGTGCGGCGCCGTGGGGACGCGGCGGCGGGTGGCGGCTCGGCCCGCTCAGCCCGCGCCGCCGCCACCGCCGCTTGCGCCGGCGCCGGCGGGTGCAAGCGCAAGCCCTCCGCCTCACCGGGCCCGTGCACCGGGACCACGGCGCCCACGAGCGGCTCGGCCGCGCTTGCCGAATGGCTGCCGGCCGCGCCTGCGCGCCAGGTCAGACGTTAGCAGGCGACAGGCTCATCTACGGGCGAGCAGGGCTGAAACGTTCACCTGCCGACGCGGCCGGGCCCAGCTTCTGCCGCTTGGCCCTGCGGCCGCTTGCCGCATCTGCACTCTCGGGCGCCGGCGCCGGACCCTCCCGCAGATCGGACAGTTTCCGGTACACCGACTTGCGCGGGGGTCCCGGAACCTTGCCGGCGATCGCCGGCTCGATGTGCTCCCGCCAGAAGCGCCACCACTCGCCGCTCCACCGCTTCTGCGAGGGAAAGTCCGCCATGCACTCGTCCTTCCGCTTGCCGTCCTTGTCGGTCCGCAGGTAGACGCCGGGCACGGCCCAGCCGGCGCAGTACTCGGGGATGAGCGGTACATCGGGCTGCGCCGCGGCGAGCCACGCGTTGATGGCTTGGACCCTGGCGTGGAAGCCGCCCTTCGCCTTCTTCGCGTCCGACAGCGTCATGGGGCGCTCGACTTGACCGATCACTGCGCCGCTCTCGTCCTTCACATCTACGAGCACGGTCACCGGGCCCTTGAAGACCTCGCCACTCTCGCAGCGGCGCGGGTTCGGCGCCCGCTCGAGCAGCGCGTCCACCGCGACGCCGACCGCCTGGTTGTAATCCGCGGCTGGCGGTGCTGCTGCTGCTGCTGCTGCGCTGCTGCGCGCGGGCGGCGCCATAAATGTGTATACAAGACATCGTGTTTCTTTTTTTGAGAGCGCCTTCGTTGTTAATAGTACAAGCCCAATGGTCCCTTGCAAGCGGTCCCTTGTTGCAGTCGCACACACACGCACACGCCGCGCCGCACCGCGCGCCCGCCCGCTGCCCCGCCCAGGCGGGAAAGAGATGAGGAGATGGGACAGCGAAGGAGGAGCCCAACACGTATGGGAGGGTTCAGTTGTGCGTCACGCTGCCCGGCTTCCCGGGACAGCCCCGCCCTTTCGAGGCAGGAGGGTGTGACGACTACCCCGTACGCCCGGTTGCATCCAGGTTGCATCATACCCCATCGCCGACCGCCCATTCCCCCCTCCTCGTTCCCCCCTCGAATTCATTCTCCGGACCCCGACAAGCCGCCCGACGTTGGGCCTCTGCCCCGCACGCCCCCGCCCCTTCTGCCCCTCGCTCACACCCCGGCCCGACACGCACATACAGCCTCTGCCCCGCACGCCCCCGCCCCTTCTGCCCCTCGGCCCTCGCTCACACCCCCACAGGAGCGACACACAGAACCACAAGACAAGACACACACACACGCACACATCACACGGAGAAGGGGCAACTCCGTGCACTGACGGTCGGCCGCCAGAAAACACGCCTGCGTGGATCGCGTCACACCAATCCTCGCTACCCAACCGCGGCCAAAGGATATCAACCTCGAGAACGCCCTGCGAATGCGCACCCCCGGGGCTAGGGCTCTCTAGCCCGTAACCCGATCCCGATCATCCGGCCCGCTGGGTGCGCTTCTTAGCTCCCCGGCCCTGGATGTGAGGTTACCGACTGCACTCCAAGTGCTCCAAGAACCTCGAGAACACAAACAAACAAACAAATAAAACGGGCACGCCAAACGAGGGGTGGGAGAAGGACAGGGTCCCCACCTGCACGAGCAGGATCTTGTAAGGACGATCAGGGACACACAGGGGAACGGGAGCGGGGAGCGCATCGCGACACGGAGGGGGGCTGGGCAGGGTTCACCCACACGACAGGGTCCCAGGGATTCCTCTCTCGTATAGGACAAGTTGCACCTCGAGAACACATCACACGAGTGTGAGTGAGTGCACACACACACACACACACACACACACACACACACACACACACACACACACATAAATAAATAAATACAACGGACATCCCAAGCTAGGGCTGGGTCGAGGACAGACACGTCCCCACCTTTGCAGGATTTTACAAAAGCGAGGGGGGAGGGCGCATCGCCGCGCGGAGAGGGCTGGGCACAGGGCACAGGGGATCTCTCTCGCATAGGATATGCACTCGGCGGCACGAGGGCAAGGCTGGGCGTCCTATGTTTGTGCTCCCCCCCGGACCCCTCGCTCTCGGGCACTAACCATCTGACCACTCATCGACGGGGCTTGGCGAGCAAAAGAAAGAAAGAAAACAGACACGCCAAACGAGGGATGGGACGAGGACAGGGTCCCCACCTGCACGAGCAGGATTTTGGAAGGACGATCAGGGGGACAGGTGGGGCTCTCCTGCTCCTGACAAGGGACACGACAGGCTCGCAGCGCGGTGCGCGGTGGACTCCCACATCCACTGGCGTGAGTACACACACACACACACACATCCACTGGCTTGGCGAGCATCACACGAGCACGGGCTTGGATTTCTTTTGGAAAGCACACATATGGAGGAAGCCGCGGCTGCTCTCGCCAGCGTGCTGCCGACGTCCGAGGCGCACCTGCACAGCCTCCTCTGTTCGCAGGACAAGTTCTTTGCCGCGGTGAGGTGCCGGCTGATTGGCTTGCTGCCAGCGGAGGTGGTCTCCGCGGAGATGGCCTCGCCAGAGCCATCCCACATCGCCGCTCGCGCGGCAGCCATCACCACGCTGGTCTCTCTGGTGCACGCGCATCGCATTCTGGCGCAGACGGATGGCGGCGCCACCGCTTCGCCGGCCACCTCGGAAGCCGCACTGCTGGTCGAGTTGCCGCCGGACGAGCGGTCGGCGCTGCTCAGCTGTGCTGCTGCGTTGGGCCTGTCCAGCCCAGGCAGCCACGAGACGGTGGGTGCAGTGCTCGCGCGTCTGCGGTCGGCCGCCGACACCCTCGCCGATGACGGCTGCTCTGCGGCGGACACTGCGACTGCCACGCACAGCGGCGCGCTCCTCTCTCTCGGGGCCGGCGGCGCAGAGGCTGTGGCTGTGAACGGCGCCTCTTCACAGGTCGAGCTGTGAACAGGTGGCGCACTCCTCTGTCGGGGCGCGTACGGCGAGGAGGCAGTGGCGGCGCTCGGCGCCTTGAACGACGGTCCGCGACAAGAAACAATTAGACATCGGGGAAGGGGCACGCACACGCGGCTCACTCAGAGGGCGAGGGACTTTAGCACAGCTACTCGCCGCGAGGCTAGCACGCACGCGCACATGCGAGAGGGCAAATGGACTACGACTGACACACCTCCCGGATCGGCAAGGTCTGCGGTCCGAGTACGCGACGCGCCGGCAGATGCTGCTCGAGCGGCTCCACGTGCAGGCACGAGATCTGGGGAGATCTGGGGAGATCCGGGGAGATATGGGGAGATATGATCTGACGTCCCCCGCCTCGTGACCGGGCGAACCCTGACCCCAACCCTGACCCTGACCCCAACCCTAACCCTGTCTGGGTGTGGAGTTGCGAGGGCTGCCCCGGCCCTTGCCCCACCACCGCTCCGTGTGTGTGTGTGTGGAGAAGTGTACTGTACCTTCCCTTAGGTCAACTCCAGCTTGCAGTCCGACGAGTCACCGACTGACGACGCCGGCGACGCCCGCCGACTCTGCGACGAGACGCGTGAGCGGCGCCTCTTCACAGCTGCAGCTGTGAACAGGTGGCCGCACACTCTGCGACGAGCTGTTGCCTGCCGCCACAGCGGTCACTGTGCAGGAGCCTAGAGGGGAAAGACGCGGTCTCGTACTCCGACTAGCGCAAGAGAGGGCACGCATGTGTCTGCACTCCTCTCCGCGGCATTCCCTCTCCTCGCACGCCTCGTACGGCACGGCCCGGCTGACCACTCCGACATTGGCCCCACGTCTGCACTTGCGCCCCGCGCCACGCGCCACCATACTGGGACGTCCGCACACTCCGCCCTGGAAAAAGAAACCACTCTGAAGGTGGGGGGCCCCATCACACTGGTGTGAAGACCGTCCGAACCATCACTCAGGAGCCGGCGCATATGCATACAAGCACCCGCACAGCCCCGGGGCTCGCACGCACAGTCAAGGAGCGGACAGGCGGCGGCGACAGTCAGATGGCAGCACTGGGCCACACAGGAAAGCGAGTGCGAGCACGGCCTCTGGGGAGATGTGGGGAGACGAGGGGAGATGTGGTTGGTGGTTATGATCACGACCTCTGTGGTGTAAGCGCTCACCCACGCGCACCGGGCACAGCGCGTTTAGTGCCGTGGGGCTCCTGTCGTCTAGACGTGGAGACGCGAGGGACTAGCCTGGCCCTTGCCCCGCGTGTGCGCGGAGTGGAGAAATTCACCTGACCTTACCTTACCTTATCCACCGCAGGTAGAGGATGCCTTTGCAGCAGACGCGAGCCTTCTCGAGTCGAGGAGGCGGCGCGCCGACCCCGCCGCGGCGGTGGCGGTCAAGCGGGTACTGATTGGCAGCGTGCCTGACCGGGGCGGCCGCGCAGCCGCCGCCGCTCCGCCGCCCGCCGTGTCGTGCTCCCCACGCGATCGCAACCGCAGCAGGGACACCGGACGAGGCAGGGGCGGCGGCAACAGCAAGCCGGGCGGCGGAGGCGGCGGAAGCGGCGGGGGCGGCGGCGGCGGCGGAGGCGGCGGAGGCGGCGGCGGAGGCGGCGGAGGCGGTGGTGGCGGGGGCGGGAGGGGCGGGGGCGGCGGGGGCGGCGGGGGCGCTGCGGACGGTGGCCGAGGTGCTGGCAGGGCTAGGGGCAAAGGCGGTGCCAGAGGCCACGGGACGGGGAGCAGAGGAGGGCGCCGCGCTCAAGAACGCCGATGATGGGGCCGGTTCCGCTCAGGGTGTGTGTTACACACAGCGTTCGTTTACGCGCGCTTAAACGTACTACACCTCATGCGCACCCGCCGGCTTCTACTACCGTACTCTCGACAACGCCGACCCCCACACCGCACACGTTCCCAGAGCCGCCAGCGTTCAGCGTTCCTCACCAGCGCTTGTCTCGGTGGATGCACATTGAAACCACCGCACACAGGTCGGCAGCTGCTGGCACCGCCGAAAAGAAGGCGAAGATATACCAGGCCCACTGGTAGTGCGCCTTAGTCAGGACGACGAGCGCGAGCAGGATGCCACCAATTGTGTGACACGTGAGGTGCAGCAGCGTGAGGAGAGCCGAAAAGAGCGAGCAGCCGCCGAAAAAGGCGACTGCCTCTATCGCAAAGCACGACAAGATGAGGGCGGAGGCTACACTGGCTTCGTGCACGCCATCGTCTATCTCCGCGTCGGTGTAGTCAAACTTGAGGGCGACAACGACGTTGTCTCTCTGCGACGGAGCACGGGCACGCCGATTAGGGGATCGCGGTGTGTCAGACTGAGAGGGCCCGGCGTACCCTCGAGAAGGTGAAGACAAGCGCAGCGAAAAAGTGCCCGACCATGGCGACGAATCGGAGGACGACAAGCGAGCCTGAACGATGCAGCATTGCGTTCGCGCGCCGCCGCGACGGGCGTTGTGATCGTTTCAAGTCAATAAAACAAAAAAGATCACTGGATGAACCCGTGTTTACTTTAAGGCCCTTGCCCTGCGAACGCGCACCCCCGGGGCTAGGGCTCTCTTGCCCGCAACCCGATCCCGATCATCCGGCCCGCTGGATGCGCTTCTCAGCTCACCGGCCCTGGATGTGATGCTGGAGCGGCTCGCCCTCGACGGCCGCGCGCGGGCGATCGGCGTTTCGAACTTTAACGCTTCGGCCATCGAGAGCCTTCTGCCGCATGTCAAGGTCCAACACGCGCACAAGCTCACAACACACACACACACACACACACACACACACACACACACACACACACACACACACACACACACTTTGAATGCCGTCGGGCTCCTGTCGTCTAGACGTGGAGTCGCCAGGCAGCCTGCCCGGCCCCTTGCCCGACCACCTTGTGTGTGGAGACGTTTACCGGAGACCTTTCCTTAGTGCTAGTGCCAGTGCCGCCAGTCCCGTGCCCAAAGAAAGAAAGAATTTTACCACAAGTCAAAGAAAGAAAGAAAACAGACACCTCAAGGGAAGGATGGGAGGACGGCACGCCGCCACCACACAGGGATTTTGAGGAGAGGGGTGTGGTGCGCTAGCCGTCGCCCAGCTCAGTGTGATGCGAGGGATTTAAAAATCGCTGGGCCAGAACGTCGGCCCCGAGTGCTCCGCAGCAGCCTCGCTGGGCCAGACTGTCGGCCCGCGAGGTGGGGTGCTAGTCTGGGACCCATACGTGGCGGTTCCCTTGCTCCAAGCGCTTGCGCTTCGGCGGTAGTGATATAATCACCCGAATACCACGTTCGGATCGCTCCTCATCGCAAACCCTGTCAGCAGTTCACCTACGGGTATGTTCGAAGAGCTACATATGTAAAAAAAAGGAGTGAGAGAAGCCACGAAGAATTATTTATTTATTTTATTCCTTTTGTGGTGCTAGTTCGTGCCAGTCTGCTGTGAGAGGTGCTTATGCTAGAATTCTTTATTTCGATGGCTGCCGCCGCCGACGATTGAGGCTCCATGCCACTACTGAGGCTTCGGCTGCTCTTCGCCGGCCTCGTCGCCACATGCATCTGCTGGACCATTTCGCAGATGCTCGTGCTGGAGCGGCATCTCTCTGCCGCCGACAGCTCCGCAGCTCAAGCTCACCATGATCCGGCGGCGGCCGGCGTCGCAGCGGCACCCGCAGCCGAGGAGCTGAGGCGTACGCTCAAGGCGCTCTCCTCGCTGCAGCCGCACGTGCCGACGCAGGGAGCCGCTGCCGCTGCCGCGCATGCCTCTGCGGCGTCGGCTTCGGTGACGGCGGTGCTCGAGTGGAGGGACGCGGCGCAGCTCGAGCGGCAGCTGGCGGCCCTCTCCGCCCAGCGGCCAGCGGCGCCGGCGACCACCCTGGTGGATGCCTACCGCGCCGCCGACGGCGGGGCAGCGGCGCGCGCAGTCGCGCGCTCGTTCGGCGGCGGCAGTAGCGTCTCCGTCTTTGGTGCAGTTACCGGCGGCGGCGGCGGCGGCGGCGGCGGCGGGGAGCGTCCGGGCGGTGCGATGGGAGGTCGGCTTGGCCGGCTCGCGCTCGCGCTGCAGGAGCCGTCTGCCTTCGTGCTGCTGCTCGACTCGCACGTGACGCCCGGCCCGGCGGCGGTGGAGGCGCTGCTGGCAGCCTCGCTCGGCAGCGGCGGCGCCGTCGGCCGGACAGGGCTGTCCTTACTGCCGCTAATCAGCTGATGACTCCACGACTCATTCTCACAGGCGCCGTCGGCGTGGCGGGGGGGCGAGCGTCCTCGCTTGCCGCTAATCAGCTGATGGGTCGTTGATTCGGTTTGGTAGGTGTCGTCGGCCTGGCGGGGTGGTGCTTGTACGACACGGCACTTGCGGGGGAGCAGGCGGTGCTGAACCTCGGCAGTATCTCGGCTCAATCTCGGCTCAATCTGGTGAGTGTCTCGCTCAATCTCCGCTTGATCTCCGCTCAATCTCCGCTCACTCTGGAGCGAACCCCCCCACCCTCTCTCCTCCCCTCCCGCCTCGGCCCGACACGCCCCGCCCCACAAGCCTAAACCCCTAGCCTGGCCCTAGCCGACCCGCCGCGGGGGAATCACGGCCCAATCTCGGCCCAATCTCGGCCCAATCTCGGTGCGATCTCGGCCCGATCTCGGAGTGATCTCGGCTCGATCTCGGAGCAGGCGACGCCTCTCTCGGACGGCGGACAGGCGACCCTCCTCCTGCCAGACACGCCCTCACTCCTCAGCCCATTCACGAACCCGCTAATGAAGCACCCATAGCAGGCGACCCTCCTCCTGCCAGACACCTTCGAGGCGATGCGGCCTGTGACGGTGCACGGGGCGGAGGCTGCAGGCGAGGGGCCGCCGCTGATGAGATATGGCGCGAGATGGCGCGAGATAGCGCGAGATGGCGCGAGATGGCGCGAGATGAGAGATGGCGCGAGATGGCGCGAGATGAGAGATGGCGCGAGATGGCGCGAGATAGCGCGAGATGGCGCGAGATGGCGTGAGATGACGCGAGATGGCGCGAGATGACGCGAGATGTCGCGAGGCTGCAGGCGAGGCTTCGTTGCTCACCTCCTTGGCCGAGGTGGACGTGTTTTGCAGCAGCTGTATTCTTATTAGTGCTAGCAATCTGGTATTCGTATGAATGTCTTATCGAGGTGGACGTGCTGCGAGGCAGCTGTATTCTTATTATTACAGAATATTATTATTATCATATTATTATTCAGGTGGACGTGCTGCGCGGCAGCTGGCTCCTGCGCGTGGAGTGGATCCCGCTGCTGCTGCGCGGCGTCGCCGGCGAGGCGGCCGGCGGAGGAAAGGGCGAGGAGGAGGGCGAGGAGGAGGGCGGGGAGGAGGGCGGGAAGGAGGGCGAGGAGGCGCGCGTGCTGGCGCTACTTTGGCAGCGCGGCGGCATTCACCAGTCAGCCAATGAGCTTCTCCGCCAATCAGGCGCGCGTGTCGGCGCTGCTGCGGGAGCACGGCGACCTCCCGTCGCTCGTGCTCCCCGCCGGCACTGCCGACGGCTGGAGGGACGTGTCGGCCACTATGCCGCCGACGGCTGCGCGGGAGAGGGCGTGGAGGCGCGAGCTGTGGCTGGAGGAGCGGCGGGGAGCGGCGCCGCCCCAGTGGCGGAGGGCGAATTCGTCCTAATTAGGTCTTGTTGATTCGTGGTTCATTCAGAGTAGGCGCGCCCTCCGTGGCGGAGGGCCGCACCAGACGCTGCGGGCGGAGGCCGGCCGGAGGTTGGAATCTCGCGGCCGGAGGTTGGAATCTCGCGGCCGGAGGTTGGAACCTCGCGGCCGGAGGTTGGAACCTCGCGGCCGGAGGTTGGAATCTCGCGGCCGGAGGTTGGAATCTCGCGGCCGGAGGTTCGCCCGTCGCTGTTGCTGCTCCTTCCGGCCGACTCCGGCCCGGAGGGTTTGGCGGCCTAGAAGCGGAACACGTATCCTGTACTCCAGCCGGCGCTCGAGAGGGGAAGGGTTCCGCTAAGTTCGGCCGTATTCCGCTGTGTGCACGCTGCATGCCTAACCCCTCGTCTTCACGCGGTGCTCTGAAGACTCTGCGCGATACCGCAGTCCCGCCACGAGGTTGGCGTATTCAGCACGTAGGCTTGGCGGAGCTGGCGCGGCTGTACGCCCCGCTCTACCGGGCGGCCGCCGCGCCGTCGTCGCGGTACGTGCCCCGGCTCAATCTCGGCTCAATCTCGGCTCAATATCGGCTAAAACTCGGCTTGAAGATCTCGGCCAGATCTCGGCTCCAGTCCTCCCGACGACTCGATTCATGCCACTCTTCTCAGGTATGTGCCCCGGCTGGCGCTGCTCCCGCGGCGCGGCGGCGGCTCCAGCTTGGTCGGGCGTGCGTGCGAGGTGTGGGCCGCGCCACTCGCAGGCGTCACTAGGCATTTCCGAGACATTTACGAGACATTTCCGAGGCACTTCCGAGACTTTCGAGGCACTTCCGAGTTGTGAGGCACTTTCGATTCACTTCCCAGACACTTCCGAGACACTTCCGAGACACTTCCGAGACACTTCCCAGACACTCGCAGGCCCTCGCGGCGCCGTGGAGCTCTGCCGCGACGCCGGCCGGATGCTCGAGCTGACCAGCGCAGACTTCGGCAGCGCGAGCGACGACGGCGCCGGCCGGTGCGCCGCGCTAGTAGGAGTAGGAGTAGGAGGAAGCGCGCTAGAAGGAGTAGGAGCAGCAGTCCGCGACACTTAGAAGAGAAGCAACCCCCATAGCCGGGGGGCTAACAGGTGCGCCGCGCTCCTCGTGGCGCTCGACGACGTGGTCGGCGCGACGCAGCCGGCGGCGCTCGTCGTACCGTCCGGCGACACGGCGCTCGCAGGAGCGGCTGACCGATTATCATGTGCACACCTCTTATCCAGTTCGAAATTCGTTTCTCATAGGCGCTAGCCGAAGCCGCGCGCGAGGTGGCGGCGGAGCACGGTGTCGCGCTGCTGCAGCCGCCGGCCGCCGAGCTGCCGCTTCTGGAGTGGGTTGCGACGCTGCCGCCCGAGGGCCTCCGTCGCTGGCACGAGCCCCGTGTCACCCTCTGCGTCATCACCGACTACTAATCAATTCCTTAATTGCTTAATTAGGCACGAGCCCCGTGTCACCCTCTGCGTCATCACCGAGCGGAGGCCGGCCTCGCTCGAGAGGCTCCTCGCGTCTGTCTCTGCTGCCAGATATGGGGAGATGCAGGGGGAGATGGGGGGAGAGATTCCGCTTCTAGGCTCCTCGCGTCCGTCTCTGCCGCGCATTTCCTCGGGGACACGGTCGACTTGTCCATCAGCGCCGACGCCGACGCCGACGCCGGCACGCTCGCCCTCTCGCGCGGCTGGGCGTGGCCGCACGGCGCAACGCGGCTGGCGGTGCGCGCGGCAAAGGGAGTCGCCTCGTATTTCTGGTTCTGCCACGGGAGGCCTTTTTCCTTTTCTAGGTGCGCGCGGCAGAGGGAACGGCGTCGTATTTCTTTTTGTACGTGCTTCGTTTTTCTAGGTGCCCGCGGCAAGGGAGGCGCCGTCACATTTCTTTTTCTGCCACTGCTGTTTTTATTTCTAGGTGCGCGCGGCAAAGGGAGGTCTCGTCGCGGCCGTCGCCGAGGCGTGGACGCCGGACGGGTACCACTCGCACGGCCTGCTGCTCGAGGACGACATCGAGGTGTCGCCACTCCCCGAATGGACTAATGAGTTGTTACGCCAATGGACTGACTACTCAGGACACTGATCCACCATCCAATGAGGTGTCGCCGTACTTCTACGTGTACGCCAAGCTCGCGCTGCTGCGCTACGCGGTGTCGGGGGAGGAGGGGGGCGGCGTGCCGGCGAGCGGGCACGCGGCGGGCGGACTCCTCGGCGTCTCGCTGTACACGCCGCGACTCGTCGAGCTGACGATGCCCCGCCGAAGGGTCGACATGCAGGCTGGCCCGCTATCATCATAGTCAATCTCATCGTCGTGACTGCTCTGCTCGTCTCCTCATTGCATCGCCGCTCCTTTGTTACCCCCTCGCCCCCCACGCCCCACCCCACCCCACCCCGCGCCCCACCCCTGTGGGGAGGGGGGAAAGCCTACCACACCGCACACCACAGGCGGACTTGGGCACGCTGCCGGCCTCGGCGGGTGGCGGAGTGCCGCACCTGTACCTGCAGCAGCTTCCCTGCTCGTGGGGCTCCCTCTTCCTGCCTCGGCCGTGGCTGCTCTTCCGCGCGTACATGCAGGCGCGGCTCGATCAAGAGAAGCCCCGAGGGGGCGCCGCTACAGTACTAGGACTTGGGGTGGCCATCACCCTTGCACAGATTGCTACCCCCCCCCCCCCCATCCCCTCCCTGGCCACTTCTCGGAACCTTCCCTTGCAGGCGCGGCTCGAGGGCGCCCCCGGCCCGCTCGTCCCTCGCTCCGCCTCGAACGGCTGGTCCACGTCGTGGAAGAAGTTCATGATCGAGCTGTCGCACCTCTCGGGCGGCGTCTTCCTCTACCCGTCCTTCCCGAACCAGTCCTCCCTCTCGACCAACCACCTCGAGAAGGGCGAGCACATCGGCGGAAAGAAGAACAAGCTGACGCACCGCCCCCTAGAAGCGGACTCTCTCCCCATCTCTCCCCTTCTCTCCCCATCTCTCTTGGCCTGGACGCGGAACACGTACCCTTGCGCTCCAGCCGGCTCTCGAGAGGAGACGCACTCAGCCCTAGTCAGCCGTGCTCAGCCGTATTCAGTACCTGTAGCCCGCGTGCTTCATGCGGTGCTCCGAACACGGCATCGATGCCGTGTACACACCCCGTAGGCACCGGCCGATCGATTTCACCGTCCCTCTGCTGCTCAACCTGTCCGACCTCCGCCAGCTCTGGCCGCCGCAGCCGCTCGACGCGCTGCCGGTCCGCGACCTCTTCACGCGCCCCACCCGACGCAGCGAGCTCCATGCGCGCGGCATCGAGGCCATCGCCGCGCACCGCGGCGTGTGGCGAAGCCACGCGCGCGAGGCGGCGGCGCCAGCACTCCGCCTCGACCGCATCCTCGAAAGGCTGCTCCCGGCGACGACTGCGCCGAGATGAGAGCATAAACAAATAAATAAAAACGGACACCTCACTGTGAGATGGGTAAAAAGGAAAACAGGTCCCCGCCCGTGCGATCTTTGTGCAGGGTTCTATACGAGCCGTGCGTCCACCGCTTTCCTTTTTTCCAACGGCTGGTTGGGTAGTAGTCACTAAAGTCTACGGGGTGTGGAGGGTGAGTTGAACAGGGGGTTGTGCGCCGGGCCCTCCTGCTCCGCCGCAGGCGCCTGTTGATAGGTCCATGTGATATCCCTGGATGGGCAATGCATACGCCTCACTGGACCTCAGATCGCCCGACCGCGTCCCGGTGCTCTGCCGTCGGATTTGTGACGCCGCCGCACCGCGCCGCGGCCGGGGGCCCTCCGGAGGCCGAGGATGGCCGTGGCGGACCGGGACGAGCTCTGGGAGGGGGGGTGTCAGTGAGTATATTGTAGAGACTGGCCATGTGCACAATAACTCTCATTCTAGCTAAGCGAGGGAAGGCGATTCCGGGGCCGTACAGCAGCTTGACGTGCTTCGCCGGCGTGCGTCCCGGAGCGGTGCCGGAGCGCGGCGAAATCGAGGGACACCGTCACCGACGAGCGCGTTGGACTTTTCACTCCGGACAAAGACGGCGACACGCACACGAGCTGCGGCCGTGTCGCCGTCTTAGCGGCGAGGCGCGGGACCGTCTGTGGCGAAGTGGGTCGCGTCCCTCGATTTCGTTCAACCCAGCATCCACACCCTTTATGCGTCTAAGTTCTGAGCCTCGAGGCTGAGCGGGTCTAAGTGTGCCCTGGCACGCTGGGGTGCTTACGCGGTCTAAGATCGGCGGCAGCCTCTTATGCGGGCTAAGTGTCATGCCGTGGCACGGCCTGGGGGCCAAGAGGCTCCCCGACCGTGGCCTCGGGTACGAGCCACCTCGACCGCGCGTAGGCAGAGCGCCACCTCCACATGAGCCTTCTTCCCCTAAGAGGAGGGGCAGGTGGCGTAGAGCAGTGAGATAGTCAGGCGCGGCACCAAATGGACGCCACAAGATGATCGGTGTCGGTGTCTCGGTAGAGTAGGGCTCAGCTAGTGTCACCTCGTCCGAAACGCCGCTCAAGGTGCAGCGTAGAGCCTGGCCGGCCGCTAGCGAGCCCACGGCGAGGCCGTTGAAGCGCGACCACTTTAGGGCGTCTGTCCACACGGCGGTGGAGAACTCTGTCGCGACGGTCAGCCCACGATGCAGCTTGTACAATTCCTCCCCCGGCTCCTCAAACACCAAGGGAAGCAAAAAGAGGCACCCCAGCGGCGCGCCTACGCGAGACTCAACCGAGGATGCGGCGATGTATATTGCCGAGATAGACGCTGTCATACAACTTTGTGGGCCACCCTTTGCCCCCGCGACGAGCGACAGGCCCGAGCCGACAGCCGCGGTCTGAGGGCAGGAAGAGGTAGTGAGCTTTGCAAGTGTTGAGCACATCGTATCCGCCACACCTTTGGGGTGTCCGCCGCGCAGAATGCCCGCCAGGCGTCGGTTGGAATGCCGAGTGGCTTGATAGCAGGGGCCTGGGTGATGAGGATTAAGGCGTCACTCGTGCGGCGGTGGCCACGCGGAGCAAGAGCGCACAAGGAGAGTGCGAGAGAGTGCGGTCCTGTGAAGACGTCAACGCTGCAAGGTCCATGCACGAGTCGTACTCCTGGGCCGTCATTGCACGAATCTCGGGCTTGGGCACCATCGCTGCGTACGCCCGGCGGCAGAAAGGTCTTGAAAAGCCAAAAGCACGAAGGTCAAAGCGCCCGAAGGTGCCCGCCACCAAGCTTTACTTCGCGTTATTGATGGTGTGAATCATAGACCAGCGCAAAGCGCCATAGGACGTATTTTCTTCTCAATAACAAGGTCTGTGAATTGTGAACTCGCAGAGACTGCCCGGGTAGTTGAATGGTTTTCTTGTACTCTCCAAAAAAAGAAAGAAAGAAAAGAGACAACCCAAGGGAGGGATGGGAGGACGGCACGCCGCCACCACACATGACGCTCTGACCGATGCACAGCCCATTCCTTCTCGCCGAGAGGGCGCTCGGAGCGCCCAAATTTGCCTCGTGCGGCCATCAAACAAGCGCGTTGCCTTCCATCGGAGTTCCCGTCGCACGCTCCGTTGACGGGGGCTGGGCCAGTTCATCGAATCGTTGAAGCATCCCAATCTACAACACAACAAACAACAAACAAATCTCTGTCCCCAATCTAGGTAGGCTGCACACACACACACAGAGGCAGAGAATCCTCGCTACCCAACGCGGCCAAAGGATATCCACCTCGAGAACCTCGAGAGGCAGAGAAAAAAATAAATTTCCGCGGAATCACGCGCGAGAGAGCTGCCGAGAGTCGTGAGTGCTGAACGAGTGTGTATATGCTGCTCGTCGCGCTCTCAGTCCCTGCCCTGCGCGTCGGCACGCTGCGCATGCAGCAGTCTGAGGACGCCGCCAAGGCCGCCTGGCTCGCCCGCACCGCCGCTGACGCTCCGTCGTGGGGCCCGAAGGGCGGCACTCCCGTCGCCGCGGCGCCGGCCGCGCCCCCGGCCGCGGCTGCGCCGGCGACGACGGAGGAGGAGGCCAAGGCGGCGTGGCTGGCCCGCGTTGCCGCCGATGCTCCGTCGTGGGGCGCTTCAGCCGGGGCCGCGCCGGCGATGACGGAGGAGGCGGCCAAGGCGGCGTGGCTCGCGCGGCTCGACGCGCCCTCGTGGGGCCAGGCGTCGACCACGATGAGCGAGGTCGCGGGACAGGCGTCGGCGCTGCTCGCCCTCACCGAGGACTGCGACTCTGGCGTCGAGGCAGCGTGCGACACTCTGTCGCGCGAGGAGGAGGCCAAGCGCGCCTGGCTGGCCAGGTCTCCACTAGTCTCCACTAGAAGTGGGGCGGCGGGGAGGAGGCGGCGGGGTGGGAGGCGGCGGGTGCGCACTCTGCTCTCCACCGCACGCCTCTCCCCTTTGCTTCCGCGCTCCCTTCCGCGCTCCCACCTCGCAAGCCCGGTGCGCGCTCACACTGCACCTCCCGCCCCCCTCCTGCCCTCAGCCTCGACGTCCCGGCATGGGGCGCGGCCGCCGCTGCCGTCTCGGCGGTCGCCTCCCAGGTGAGTGCACCTGCTGCGGTGTCGGAGGAGGAGGCGAAGCAGGCCTGGCTCGCCCGCCTCGACGCACCGACCTGGGGCAAGGGTCCCCCTCTCCCCGACCGGCCGCCGGAGCTCAAATCCACTGAGGCGACGACGGCCGTGCGAATGAACTGCTTTCAGGCGTCGTCTCCCCGACCGGCGGCGCGGCGGCCTCGCCGGCGAGGCTGTCGGAGGACGAGGCCACCGCCATCTCCACCCCCCCTCCC